GTAGTCTCTCGTGGTTCCTCCCTCCTCTGATTTCCCCCCTTCATTTATCCCTTCCTACTATCTTCATCTTCTTCTTTTTTATTTTATTTTTTTTTATTATGTTAATCACCATACATTACATCATTAGTTTTCGATGTAGTGTTCCATGATTCATTGTTTGCGTGTAACACCCAGTGCTCCAGGCAGTGCACAAGCACCTGTATTTTTTATTTATTTATTTATTTAATTTTTTAAAAGATTTTATTTATTCATTCATGAGAGACAGAGAGAGAGAGAAGCAGAGGGAGAAACAGGCTCCCAAGGAGCAGGGAGTCCGATGTGGGACTCGATCCCAGGATCCTGGGATCATGACCTGAGCTGAAGGCAGTCGCTTAACCATCTGAGCCACCCAGGCGCCCACAAGCATCTGTATTTTTTAAAGGTCCGGTATTTTTCCAGGAAAAGTTGAGAGTCCCTAGTATAGGTAGACTGGGAACAGGATGGAATATACTGATTTAACTGGGGCATAAAACGGTTAAAGCCAACACTAACTCTAAAAAGAAACGTTGAATATTAGGATACAAGTGATCCAGACAGATTATAAAAATGATAATAGGGGCCAATCATAATCATAATCAAAACTAGTTCTGATGCCTTGGGCAACTCATTTAACTTCTCTACGACTTCTTTTTTCAACTGGTAAAACTAGACGACTTGCCTGGATAAAGGTAGACCTCAGTTCAAACCCCATCTCTTCCTCTTGCTCAGTGAATGGCCTTGGGCAAGTCACTGAACTTTTTCAAGCCTGGTTTACTCCTCTGCTAGATGAAAGTTCCAAGAGAATCCATTTCGTGAGGTTTATAAGATATTAAAATAACACCAAGGGCGCCTGGGTGGCTCAGTTGATTAAGCGACTGCCTTCGGCTCGGGTCATGATCCTGGAGTCCCAGGAACGAGTCCCGCATCGGGCTCCCTGCTCGGCAGGGAGTCTGCTTCTCCCTCTGACCCTCCCCCCTCTCATGCTCTCTCTCTCTCATTCTCTCTCTCAAATAAATAAATAAAATCTTTGAAAAAAAAATAAAAAAATAAAATAACACCAAGCTTGTGAAATGCTAAGCACAATTTCTGGGAAACAAGATGAATTTTAAGTGTTGTAATTAGTAAGAGCTCTTTCATCTCAAAAATGTTGTAATAGGTTATTTTTTCAATACATAATGGCAGTGTTTGGATAATAGGATTATGTGTAATTCTTCCCTTTTTTCAAATTTCCTGAAATTTTGTGATTGCTATAATTCAGACCAAAATTTAATGAATCCATAAGTAATACACCATATAGTAGTGATTTTTTTCATTACTGCAGGCAATTAGAAATAGAATTATGACCACCATATCTTTTAGAAGTTAATGTTTTGTTTGCTTATGGTTTTGCTGGAAATCATATTCTTTCTAGTACCTATATTTCTATGTTCAAAAACATTTACAACTTTTACAAATAAAAATTTGTACAAAAAAAATTTACAAATAAAAATACTTTTATTTGATATAAAAAGATTTTTATCTCCAATAAATAGATAAATAAATTTGATTTGGTCCTTGCCATCAATGGTCTTAAATTCCTAGGAAATCTAGTCTTTTATATAATTAGACATATTCTGTAGTATACCTATAAACTACAAAAAAACTAACAATTTTAGTACACTGGGAAATATATACATATGTAAAAACATTTAGTCTATGTTAGATTATTAAAATAAATATGTATATGTAATACATTTGAAACTAGGACTTTGAATATAAACCAACTCTGCGTAATATGTAGGCATATCTGATGCCTAAAAATAATCCTGGAATTTTAGAAAAGTTTGCTTATGATTAGCTTAATGATTTGTAACACCTTATGGAAGATGGTCATTGGCCCAGAGGTTGCAGATTTTTTTTTTTTTTAAGCGCTTCATATTTTGCACAAGTGGCCTTTTACTTGGGTATATGATCTGGAAAGCTATACTAGAATTAAAAAAAATTTTTAAATAAAAAGCCTGTTAAATCCTGAACAATTTCACCACTGATAGGGCATCTTTGGGAAAGCGGGTACGGCCCAGTAGCAGCAGTTTGTCTATGACCATCTCTTTTTTTTTTTTTTATTCTTATGTTAATCCCCATACATTACATCATTAGTTCTAGATGAAGTGTTCCATGATTCATTGTTTGTGCATAACTGTCTATGACCATCTCTTAAGCCCTGTTGCACACTGCTAGCATATTTTGTTCAGCGAACCAATAACATCTCAAATTTTTAATACAGGACATAATATTCACCACTGAATACCAAATATTATATATAATGTTTAAAATGAGAGATGTTTATGTCGCCTGAAGTGATAGCAACATTATTTGGCTTAATATACCATAGTTGCTTTTGCAAATGGACAGGAGACTTGATTTTAGACAGGTCACTCAGGGCAATGTTCAAATAGGCCAAAGAATTACCTCCTTCCTCCAGCATGCTTTGGAGTTTAGAATCTCACACTAAATTATTCTGGTTAAAAAGACATACTGCTTTTGGGGGTTCCTGGGTGGCTCAGTTGGTTAAGCGCCTGACTCTTGATTTCGGCTCAGGTCATGATCTCAGAGTCATGAGAATGAGCCCCATGTTGGGCTCTGTGCTCAGCAGGGAGTCTACTTGAGGATTCTCTCTCCCTCTCCCTCTACCTCTGCCCCCACTTCCATTCTTACTCTCTCTAAATAAATAAATAAATAAAATATTAAAAAGACACACTGCTTTCAAAATAGAATTTTTTTCCATAAAAAAGTTTAGAAAAAATTATAAAGAAAAGGAAGAAAATGAAAATTTCCCATAATTCCAACTCCCTTAATAACTAGTATTGACATTTTACTTTATATCCCCCTAGGTATATTTTTCTATGTGTGTTTTCCTTTCCATAATTCTTAGTAATTGGCCTCACACTGTCTAAAGTGGTCAAAAGTCTCCCAAACTCACCTCATCCGCCTCCACTTGAGAACTCATTTCTTTATGCCTGAGTGCCTCCCCAAAACATGAAAGGATCCCTCCCTGGTTTTTTTCCCAGTCATGGTTTCCTGTGAAGCTAAGAGAACAGAATCTTGTTATAAGAGAATTTAGAAAGACATCCAATTTGATGGACAGGGCTGAACCCTAACCCATCCGGGATAGGTGTCATCTTCAGAAAGAGTCCTACAACCCTGCTTCAGGTCGTGTTCCCATGTCTCCAACACTGTCGGGTAAGCAATTCTTTCTGGTGTTTACCCTATACCGTTTGCCACTTCCAATTTCTTATGTTTCCCCTAAAAGCTCAGAATCCTTTTGGTCCTCACAAACATGACATTTTTATAGATGTGATTTAGTTCCTTTTGAAATATTCTCTGTTTTTGTTGAAATCTCGCAAAGGCGAGGTGTTGAGAGGAATCCCAGTGCCATGCCACGTCATGCCGTTCCACAATTGGCCTTTTCCTCCCAAAAGTATAGTAACAGTTTGGCCAGAGCTCTTTAGGGGGATTCGGAATACCAACAAGTCACAACACCGATGAAATGTAGGAGACTCTGCTTTGTAATCATTTGCCTCGGGCCACACCCGCCCAGATATGTGATATGACTACAAGTCAATTAGAAGTCTCATCTTGAAGTATGGACTGTTAAAAGAAGTGGAATATTTGATTAAGGAAGACACAGAAAATACCCAACTATTTTCTTGGATCCCTGGAGAACCCTCATGTTATTCAGACTAAGGAGATATGCCGGATTTAAATCTACAGGGTAGGAACAGCTGAGTCATTTTAGCTTTAATCAAAATACAGCATCTGGCATAATTTTGTAAAAAATGTACTAGTATTTAACGCTATAGAACATTACTATTCCATTTGGTAATAGAACATTGCCAGTATTTTTTTTAATGCCCCTGATTGTCCCTGCCCCATTTCACCTGGCCGTGGCTACCTTGTGGTCTCATCTTAATCCCCAGGTTGATGAAGCCACCAGGCACCCCCTGCTGGAAGCTAGTCATCACATTTCAGCTAGCATCTTCTATAAATCAAAATACTTTTTAGATCGAATTATATGAAATCATCAATATTCAACCTTTGTTGACATACAAGAAGAGCAATTTCATACAGTTTAACCAAAACATAACTTGGAAAGGTTTCTATCAAAATGACTTTTCTATCTTGTAAGTAATCATAATTTGACTCCATTTTTTTGGTTATTGTTATTGTTGTTTGCTTGTTTTGTTTTTGTTTTTGTTTTTTCTGGAAGTAAAACCAAGACAAGGAATTTTTTCTCCTCCTTTCCCCCAACTCCAGTGGCAACTGTGGCTACTCTTGATCTGTGTTTTAGCACCATCTAGTGACATGAAGTGTATTTGTAATGAAAAACAATCCTCAAAATTCTTTGTTCACTTTTTAAGCAGGGGTTTTTAAGGAGAACGTTGTTGCCACATCTTTTTTGTTTATTTACAGCAACCTCCTCTTCAAATCTTTTCAAGTAGTCATTACTATAGAAGTATACTTTGCTTTTAGGCTATATGTTCAGTTGTTTAACTTTTCAATGAGCAGTGAAGATTCAGTGAATCTTATTGGTTAATAAATGTTAAAAGTATTTAAGAAAATCTGAGATTAGTGTGTATAAATAACATTTAGTCCTTCTCCTGAGCTAGTACATGATCCATCTCTGCCACAGTTTTCCATAGCATCGTCATTTCTTTCCTAAAATGTATATATTTCTCATCATTTCAAATGCATTTTTGACTTCGACTGATTACACTTTTGCTTGGATTGGCCGAAGAGAAAGAAATGGCCTTAATTTTCTAACCATTGAGCTGTGTAAGGGCAAACCTCAAGGTTCTTTTTGGTTAGCAAGCATTAAGGCGTGGAGAAAAGCATAGGAGCGTTAAAGCCCTGACTACAGTTCTTAAAAGGTTGAATTCAAGGGGAGTGAGAACTACCCTAGAGCAAAAGGGAAGAATAATTGAATCCTGACTCAAGGGCTTGAGTAAAACTGTTTCCGGTTCTCCCCCACAGCCTATAGAACCAGACGCCTCACCCTGTAGTCTGGAAGATAAGAGTGTGAAAGACTAACTCAGTGCATTGGTGATGGAGGCACCTAGAATCAGTCAGCTAAATCTAGGGTCATGCTTTCCATAACAATTGTCTGGAACTTAAAAAAAAAAAAAAAGATTTTATTTATTTATTTGAGAGAGAGAGAATGCGCACGGGCGAACGGGGTGGGTGGCTGGCAGAGGGCGAGGATCCCAAGCCAGCTCTGTGCTGAGCTTGGAGCCCCTCGAGGGGCTGGATCCCTCCACCCATGAGATCATGACCTGAGCCAAAACCAAGAGTCAGCTGCTTAACTGACTGGGCCACGCAGGCGCCCCTGTCTGGAACTTTTATTTACACTTCTGCCATTATCATATGTGTGCCGTAGGGCAGGATATAATAATCCTTAATATAAAACTTACAGAGTATTATTTGTCCTATCACAAAAACAGTGGTCTAATACTTGCACGCATAAGGGATGATGGATTTACAAAATTATTTACTGCAGCAGTGTTTGTAAAAGCAAACTCTAGGAGACAACCTAAAAGTTTGTTGGTAGAGGGGACAGGCAGAATGTCGGGGGGGCTGCTGGGAAGGCAACTTCTTTTTTCACTTTCTTTTGGAAATTCTTCAAAAATGTAAGAGAATATAGCTAGTGACTATCTAAAATATAAAGAACACTAAAATCAACAGTTAAAGAATTAGAACAGTACCAGTATTTTTAATACCTCAGAGCATACTTCCCCGATTTCATCTACCTGCCTCCTCTCACAAATAACAATAATTTTGGTTTTTGTCTTTTTTAATGAGGGGGATGCATTCTACATTCTACCTTTATATTCTGTTTAAATTCTGTACCATGTGGAGATACAGATTATACAAAAGAAATACATTAAATTTAAATTAAAAACTGAAACAAAATCATCTGATTTAATATTTTTATTATAACAGAGTGAAGAAAGAATTACACTATATCTTTCATGAACTAATGTTTCCTTTCAAATGAGCATAGAACTTGAATTACCTGCAGCAGTATTTCTATTTACGTAGGTGTCAAGTGCAGTGCGCTTACTATAACTTATTAGAACAAAGTTCTCAGAATTCTGAGGTTAAATTTTGCCTAGAAAAAGGAGCATTTAGGGAGTGCAATAATCTTATTTAAAATGTTTTATTAGTGTATTTGATATTCATTTCTTAAAGCATAAATTAGGCCTGCATGATTTAATGACCGTGGATCATTGATCAGATTTATTTCTGCATCATTCAAGATTTCATGCCTAATGAAAGACAGCATGCTCTGATGTCAACAGTTGGCTATTTGAATACTCCGTCATAGGCAGCGTGACCTTTCAGTGCTGTGAGTTGTTTATATGTGATAATGAGCCAGGTTTTTCCAGTGACTGAGTTAATCATGGTTGGCACCTCAGGAAGCACCGTTAACTCCTTCAGGGGATAATGCTGTAGGTTGCCGTCCCAGGGTGTAAACAGCACCCCAGGGACTTACGAGAATTAATGCCAGTTTCAGAAATGTCTGAGACATTTTTGTCTTAGAAAAACATTTAGACTGACTTTAGTCTAAGTCAGTGCCAGATGAAAACATCCTGGATATAGTTCTGGAACACTTGGAGCAATTATAAATTTGCATGCTTCACCCCCCGCCTTGTTTACCAAATGATAAGCATTAAGTAAACTCCCCATGCACGTGCCAAATCATTAATCAGCTGGCATGTTGCCATAATGGGCTTATATTCGTTGAGTGCTTTCTGTTTGCCGGGCACTGTCCTTGGCACTTACCCTATCCTTTCCTATCATCTTCACAACAACCTCAGAGATAGCTATCACTATCCTGGGTTATAGAAAAGGAAACTGAGGCACACAGAGATTATGTAACTTGTCTAAGTTCACACAGTGAATACATAACCGAGTCAGGCAGTCTGGGTTGTTAGGTAGTACCTACTAAGACACTTGAAATCTGTGTTTTAGTGCAACTTCAACATTCTCATTGTCACCCAGATTAATTATAGTCTCACCTAATATGGGCTCCACCTGGGGGAAACTTGCCCATACTAGTGGAAAGGGAGGCAGGTAAAGTCATTGTAAATTTTCTCTCCTAGGCTTACTTCCAATTCTTTTTGCCACCTTCTGGTTGCACTAGAATTAGAAAAAGAAGGACCTTCAGAGGTAGGGGGACATATTGGTCCTGCCTTATGTGTATGGGTGTGTTGTGTCTATGTATTCATTTATGCAACACATTTTTTTTTTTTTTTAGTATCTTCTATGGGCCCACCTCTGTGCACATCAGGGTGGTCCTGTTTTATGTGAAAATGCATCCCTTAGTGATTCAGATAACCTTAACAAAGAAAATAATTTCTCTTTACTCGATAGATAGCCATGTAGCAAAGGTGAAAAAAACAATTTAAAATTCACCTAGCTTTCTGTCTTTGAAAGTCTGACGTTCTTGGTGAATGTTTGAGGAGAATTCGGGGATATATACATTTACAATTTTAACCCTTAAAGTGAGAGTTTATTATTATTTTATATTATACTATTTCAGATTTGCCTGAAGTGTAACAGCACTCTATGTATATTGCCTGGGATATTGTTCTGCTGGCTGAGGAGTCCAGGAATATTGTGGAAGCTGTTGTTACTGTCACCATATTCATAGACAATGAGGAGAAATGTCTGGAAAATCTTTGCAGTCTGGCCTCTCTAGATTTCAAATAGATACATGTAAACTTCACTAAGGGCTAGAAGATTCTTTAATGGTATATGAAACTAGGTTGAAAGCAGTATCAGGTTTTCACTTAACAGACTACTTTTTAAATCACCAAACCATTTTAAATTGCACTAAAGATGGCCGTACTCCAAGTAGCTTAAAGAATCCCTTTTTGTTGTAGGTCTTGGCCAGCCTGCGAACTGTGCGAAACAACTTTGCTGCGTTAACTAATTTGCAAGATCGAGCACCTAGCAAGTAAGTTATTCTTTCCCCACTCCTTCTTGCTGAACTTTTAGACGGTGTTTTCTCAGTTTGATTGAACTCAGGGCAATATATTAGATTTCTCTGAGTCGTTGCCATGTTGTCTAACCATTTACACTAAGTCATAAGATGTCCTGTTAATTTTCTATAAATACTTTGTAGTGATGGTTCTAATATCAGAAATGAAGTAGTATGAGAAATAAATATGGTGATTGCGTCTGTCAGAAATCATCTGGCATAATCAGTCCTCTGCCCAGTTATTTACACTCAGGGTAACTTTATACTTTCGGCTTACTTCATAAATTAACCACGGACAAAGAATCTCTTCAAGACTTTAAAGTCAATCCAAAGTCATCCTCTTAATTCTAAGCAACAATTACTTGGAGGAGCATCATATCATACCAAAGATCTTTGATTCTCTTGCTGTTACTGAAACTCAGATCAGGAGTGTCATGGAGCAATTAATAAAGTTGTGATTTTTTTTTTAAAGATTGTATTTATTTATTTGACAGAAAGAGACACAGCGAGAGAGAGCAGGGAGAGTGGGAGAGGGAGAAGCAGGCTTCCCGTGGAGCAGGGAGCCTGATGCAGGGCTCTATCCTAGGACCCTGGGATCATGACCTGAGCCGAAGGCAGACGCTTAACTGACTGAGCCACCCAGGCGTCCCTAAAATTGTGATTTTGTGATAACAGAGGAAGCAGTTGAAAAAAGGAAAGCTGAGATGGGAATTGATTATTATTTGGAAGTGCTAATAAAAGCGAAAAATCTAAAAAGAGAAAATTTTCCATGATTAAATGGAAAACTAATTATTCAAATACTCCTTATTTTGACAATCTAGTGTTAATAATAAACAAAAAGTTATTAAAATATCAACTCCAAAGATTTTTCCAAAAGAAAAAAAAACATATTTTTTTTTAAAAGATTTTATTTATTTATTTGAGAGAGAGAGAATGAGAGACAGAGAGCATGAGAGGGAGGAGGGTCAGAGGGAGAAGCAGACTCCCCGCCGAGCAGGGAGCCCAATGCGGGACCCGATCCCGGGACTCCAGGATCATGACCTGAGCCGAAGGCAGTCGCTTAACCGACTGAGCCACCCAGGTGCCCAAAAAAACCATATTTTTAAAATCCATAGTAAGAGGGGGCGCTTGGGTGGCTCAGTCAGTTAAGTGACTGCCTTTGGCTCAGGTCATGATCCTGGAGTCCCAGGATTGAGTCCTACATCAGGCTTCCTGCTCAGTGGGGAGTCTGCTTCTCCCTCTGAACCTCCCCCCTCTCATGCTCTCTCTCTCTCTCTCATTCTGTCTTTCTCAAATAAATAAAAAGTAAATAAAATCTTTAAAAAAAAATCCATAGTAATAAAAAAAATCCATAGTAAGAGGAGAGTGAATAGAAATTTATTTGGAATTATAACTTATCTAAGTGTATAAAAGAATATGAAAAATATGAACTTGCCATCCCATAATAATGTAATTGACCTCCCCAATTCACATTTCTATGATTAAAAAAAGCTTTGGCCATTGTGCATGCATTTCCTGTGATAGAAAATGTTTTTAAAAAAGCAATATAAAAGCCACAATGCAAATAATTCGAATGGGACCCAGAAGCTTCAGTCACTTGTTTTTTCCAGGTAATGAATTTTTGCAGTTCTGTATCCTCAGTTTGAACATTTCTCACCTTCTTCCCTCCCACCCCAACCCCATCCGTTGGACTAACTATAATTCATTCTTTAGGTCACGGCTTAAATATAATTTATTTGGGGCCATCATCCCTGACTAACAGCCAACATACGTACATGCCCACAGGTCCCAAACTTGAAGGTATGCCCTTCCATCTCTGTCCAATAGCATCCTGCACCTAACTCCTTTGTTAGCACAGACCCCTCTGTGCTCCATGTGCCTACTTACTTGTCCGAGTGCCCCTTAAGAACGTCAGTCTGCAGTGAGCAGGGGTTGTACCTGGCTCATATGTGTACCCTGGGTACCTAGCATAATACCCGGCACAGAGAAATCACTCTGCGTGTGCTTGTTGGCTGGAAGAACGAACTGATAATGTAGCATGTGGAATCAGAGGGTGTACTTGAGGTATTTGTTCATTACCAAACATGTCTTCTGTGCTCCATGGCCATAAAATACCACACTGAACCTCAACAGCCCAGTGACATCTAACCAAACAATATTAGCTGATAGACTCTAAGTAAAGGCCTTTGTGGTCTCTCTTTTGGTTAGTGCAGTTTTGTACCTTCTTTACTGATTCTGATTCAAATCAAACCAATATCTTCCGATATCAGACTAGTAGGATTCAGTGTACACACAGCTAAGCTCTGCTGTGTTCAGTGACAGTGAAATGGTTATAACTCTGGCCCATCACATGATGACCATGAGGGAATCAGAATTTTCCCTGCTGGACACTTACAGTGCCACTAAAACATTTCCAAGCTGACCCATGGATTTTATGGAAGGCATGTGCTACCTTGCACAATCCACCCTTTTTGTTTGCTCCAGGAAAGGAGTCAGTCCAGGAAGAAGACATGTGAAGCCTAGCCCCTGTGGGTACTCAAATGTGCATTGCTGACTTTGCTAGCCTACTGTTGGTTCCTATCACCTTGCTCTTGCATGTTTGGAGATTTTCAATTCCAGAGTGAGTTCTGGCTCATTCTTCATTAAATCATTTATCACTGTAACCATGAATCAAATGATTAATATTTTCTGCTTGTCATTACTTGAAATATCAAGTCCCCAAGTTGTAGGATTGACATTAAGAGAAGATAATGAGTAACAAGTCAATAATTTGGTTTTCCAAAACAGTAGAAAAGTTTAGGACTATTCACGTTACACCATCTTCAGATAAAATGCTTCCTAAATTTTCACAGAGCAAGAACTAAATTCAGTTATAAATTATTTAAATAAACTCTCAGCAAGATGACTGTTTATATAGAGATCAGATCTATTTCAGAGTAGCAATTTAGAGCATTAACCTTTCTGTTTTATGAAGCATTAATCAAGTTTCAAATTTCCTCATTTCATTTACTAATAAAAACTAAAATAATTTCGGGTACCTGGGTGGCTCAGTCATTAAGCGTCTGCCTTCAGCTCAGGTCATGATCCCAGGGTCCTGGGATTGAGTCCCACATCGGGCTCCCTGCTCAGCAGGAAGCGTGCTTCTCCCTCTCCCGCCCCCCCTGCTTGTGTTCCTGCTCTTGCTATCTCTCTCTCTGTCAAATAAATAAATAAATAAAATCTTTAAAAAAAAAAACTAAAATAATTTCATAGTCGATTTTGATGTGTTTCCAGTCAAACACGAAAACTTCAGTCCCATACTGACATCAGTAAACTTAACAGCAATAAGACAGAGCCAGATACTGACTGGAACCAAGCCAGTGAGAATTTACAAAGCACTTGATTGCGTTCCCCAGTTAAGAGAATTGTCATCTCAGGAGAGCAGTTGTGAACACAGCTTTGCAAGGGCCTGCCATGTGCACAGATGCATGGCTGTTCGTCCAGGTTCCTCAAAAGCATCCTAAAAGTAAGGCAGTTTAGCAGACCGCTCGCCCTAGAATTCCACTGCTTTAGTTCAAATCTCAGCCCTCTTCCTCTGAACAAGTGATTCACCTTCCCAAAGCTGTGTTTTCCTCACTGGTAAAATTGAAACAGTGAGATTACCTGCCTTAAGGTTTCTTTTGAGGATCAAAGTAGATTATTCATCTAAAGTACTCATTTAGCACAGTGTCTGACACACAATAAGTGTTTCGTAAGTGTTGGTTAAGTGTTAAAGATCACTCTGCAATATTTTTAAAGTTTCCAATTATAAGTGACAACTTTCTAAAGTTGTATTTTATAAATGATATTCTTTTCAATGTAATTTATTAAGCATTGATTGAATACTGGATACATTGTTCTGGGCTCTGTAGGGAAAACAAATTCATTTTATAGCAGGGTTTTTTAGGTCAAGGGGTTTATAATCATCTTGTGAAACTTGGGAAACATCTGAAAACTTAGAGGACACAGATAGAATCAATTCAAGTACCTTTAGTTTATAGTATTTCTAAAGCCTCTGTAGCATCTATTTGGACAAAGCATTAATATGCCTCTCTAACAAATGCATCAGAGATGTTACTCAATATGAGGAAGGAGAAACGAAAGGGTTTAAATAGCTTCTATAATTGTAATACATTTTACAAGGAGTCACTCACCTCTGAGAATTTGTGCCAAAAACAAAAGTTTCTCACCACCGTATTTGGGAAACGACTTGTAGATTGACTGCTTTTCAAATTCACCAAGTCTGTGTTTGCTCTATATGCCCTGGTTTAATGGAACGTAGTCAATCAATAGGAACGTCCTCCTCTATCATGTCCCTATGACATTTACTTCAGCTTTATTTGCCTCGAAGTCTATCACTATGAGATTTAACTATTTTTTTTTTTGACATGTGTGATCTGAACTGTAGTGCAAAGGGTGCTTGGGAACTTAGGTGGCTAGTCTGAAAGAAGTCTTCATTTGCGGGCGCCTGGGTGGCTCAGTTGGTTAAGCGACTGCCTTCGGCTCAGGTCATGATCCTGGAGTCCCGGGATCCAGTCCCGCATAGGGCTCCCTGCTCGGCAGGGAGCCTGCTTCTCCCTCTGACCCTCCCCCCTCTCATGTGCTCTCTGTCTCTCTCATTCTCTCTGTCTCAAATAAATAAATAAAATCTTTAAAAAAAAAAAAGTCTTCATTTGCATGTCCTAGCCTAAAAATAATTCTTTAAATTAAAATGACATATCTGAAATGACTCAAAGAGTCCTCAAATTAACATGCACCACGTATTTACTACTTTGTACTTTTTTCTCTTTGTCAGAAGATCACCCATGTGCAACCAACCATCCATCAACAAAGCCACCATAACAGGTAAGGAAGATCTAGTAGCCTTCTCTCCTTATGTCTAGAAAGAAACCCTATCTTCCAAGGTTTGATACAAGACTAGCACCAATTTTATATTGCAATTCTATAATTTTAAAGAAATTGATCCTTTTTCTATTATGACTTATTTCATTGAGCCCACAAGTTGTCCATTTAAGCTGTTACTTGGGAAATCTTTACTGATGTGCCATTTTAAAAAACCATTTAAATCTGTGCTTGTGCTAAGTTTAACATTGCTCTGGGCATTTGTATAAAGAGATAGTGTTACCTTCCAAATGTTGACCGTGTTGTTTCCAGGCTTATGCTACCAGCATGATATTAGAATGTGGTAATTTGGTTTAATGAAAGTGAAAGCATAAATAAAAGGGACCTTCCTGGTTAATTGATATCCCAGTTGTGTGTAGGAAGGAAACCCATTCCAGTGTGCTGATTTGGACTCAGAATTGAGAAGAAATTTACTTTGGGAGGGGAGAGAAGAAGTAATAATACAACACAGCAAAGTTCAGTGAGATCAAAAGAACAGCTGTTTGGGGAAGAGAAGGGGAAGGAAGGATGAGGGACATAAAGGGCAAAAAAAAAAAATTTATCCCAATTCCTATTAGTCTATTTTGGACATAGGACTTGACCTCATCTGAACCAAAAACAGAACAAATGATCTCATTTTGCTGAACCTGAAACAAAATTGAACTCATTTAATCATTTCTTGAAACCCTAATTGATTCATTAAAATAATTGCCTGGAAAAGCAAACCTATGTTTTCTAAAATTATTACCAGAAGAAAATTAACATAGTCTCCAAATTAGACCAATACTTCATTTGATTCAAGTGCCTTCCTTGGACTCCAACTCTGAATATTCTGAGAGCTCCTTATTAAGTTATTAGTGAGAACACTTTGCTTGAAAGTTAACTTCACTATTCAGGTCAGCACTTTTCCTCTGGTCTCCTTTGTGGTCACTACCTCAGAGTTGATTCTGGAACAGTTGGTAATGTAGTTCTTTTCTGAATGTCTCTTGAATGGGATTTGTACTTCAATGAGTATTAAATTGTTGATTCTCTTTCCCATGCTTATCTTTCAAGATCTTATTGGTGACGATTTTCCACTATCATTTCATAGTGTATGCCTGGCCCACCAGTTTTCTTCTTTGTCATTGGTCGAGAGGTGGACAATAGCTGAAATTCCTATATATCAAAATAAGTTCTTTGAATAACAAATTTCTTTCCAGATAACCAAATTCAATGTCAATGAGCCTACACTGAAATCAGGGTGTAGAAGTGAATGGTTTTGTCTCTGTGCACTTGCCTTTTATGTTGAGGGACAAGCAAGCCATCCTTTGTGGGCATGCAGCTGGGGACTCTAGTGTGAGAGACTGCATGGAAGCTTGTCCCCAGCCCTGCTCTGGGCCCTAGATCTCACCCCTATGAGGAGGGGCCATCCCCCCACCCCTGCTATTTTTGCCATAGGCAGGACTCTGACGTTGTGGTTTGAGCAGAATGCAGTGCTATTTTGGCTCCTGAAAGCTTTTGTAGCTTGAGGTCACATAGGAGCCAGCCCCACAGGAGCATCCTCCCCGAGAGCAGCTGCGGGTCCCAGTGGAGATGGTTGTGTCCATCAAGAAGTGGTGGGTGGTCAGCGGTCTGGGCAGCTGTCCAGCCACCCTGGCAGATGCCTGGAAGTGATTAAAGGGAGAGTAATTGCACTCAAAGGGCACAGACTTTGTCTTAAACACATGTGAGAGACCCTTTAGCAGCTCCCAGAAATGTTCACATAGTATTGAGACCCAGGAGCAATGCCAGAGGGAACTGAAATCTGGGAATTAAGGTTAACATGGCCTCATTTGTACCCACAAGTTTCTGACCTGGGGCCTAGGGACAGTGGGACTGCAGAAGTATCTTATCTAGGAAGCGAAACTGATTAACTGTCATTAACTGCTTAGTGCAGCCGTGTTCATCACAAAGCACACCAGGAAACTAACTAGAAAATGAAAGTCTTTTTCCTTGCCTCAGCCTAACAAATCAAAGTGGAAAAGTGGAATGGAGGGTAAGGGAATGAAGGCAACAGCAGGGAAAGATTCCCCTCTCTGAGCCCATTCTGGAAAAGCGGACCCTTAAAAACATAAGCTTCGACAGTGTAAGAGTTGAGACACACAGAAAAGTGGATTCTGTCCCTCAGCAGCTGACTGTTCAGGTTCTACCTCCAAGTTCACTCCCCCTGTTGTTGGAACCCAGCTCCACCTCTGTGGTGGTCCTGGGAAGGACAGGGAAGAGTGTTAAAAAGAGTCAGTGGGACATCCTTTAGGATGAACTTGACCTTCTTTGATACTTTGTTGAGGTTCTAGAGGAAAAGTGTAGCATATGGCAAAGTCCATGAGGGGTCCAAATGGGTGCTGTGGTGACATGTCCAAGGGCCCCTGGGGGGCAACCCCATAGAACATCACTGACGGGAGTCCCTGGAATTGTGCAGCGTGGGTGCTCTGCCTATCTAGAATTCAAATCATGCTCTACCATGATAGCTGCGTGACCCTGAGCAGGCCACATACCTTTCTCTGCCTCAGTTTCCCCATTTATAAATTGGTTATCATATGTCATACAGTTATTGCCAAATTAAATGAGTTCACGTGTGGATGCTCTTGGCACAGTGCTTCACAGAGTAGGCACTCAATGCATCATTTTCTCTTTCGCTTTGCACTTGTTTTTATTCTCTGGATGTAGAACGAGGGGTAATGGAAAGAATAGGGCAGAGTGATGAAAGAAGAATGAGAGAAAGACAGCTTGCAGGGGCATGAAATATGGAGCCCCACAAAATGGATGTACTTCCTTGGTGCTGTCAAAAATGGGCCCTTCCAGTGTTCCCAGTGCTCTGTCCCTTCCTCTCCTCACTGCCACAGACATTGGTGCCTTTGTGATATGGGCAGTAAAGTGTGGTTCAGAATCATTTTCAAAATCGAACAACTTACATTGGAGTCATAGCTCTTTGAAGGAAAATAATGAACTCTTTATAACTTTTTCCGTAAATCACTGATTTTTTTAAAAAAGAAGAGGTAAGGGCGCCTGGGTGGCTCAGTTGGTTAAGCGACTGCCTTCGGCTCAGGTCATGATCCTGGAGTCCCAGGATCAAGTCCCGCATCGGGCTCCCTGCTCAGCGGGGAGTCTGCTTCTCCCTCTGACCCTCCTCCCTCTCGTGCTCTCTGTCTCTCATTCTCTCTCTCTCAAATAA